TTGATTATTAATTTTTTAATTTTTAATAATTAAAATTTATTTATTTTTTATCATATTTATTAAATACAATTATTATTTTTATCTAAAAAATAATGTTAAATCTTAACATTGAATGTAAGGTTAAAATTTTATATAAATATAATGTATAAAACTTATATTTAAGTAATCTATACTTTAATTATAATCCTCAATGATATTCTAAATTTATAGTCATAATATGTGATTATATTATTGATTTTTTTAATTAAAAAATTCATTTATAATATTACATGTATCTATTAATTTAATAATTATTATAATTATAAATTTATAATTATAATAATTATAAATTTATAATTTTATATAATATTTTAAATATAACATTGTTGAATCTTATATACACGGGTCAAATTTTATTAAACCATTATATTTGTATCACAATTATATACAGTAGAATTAACATTCTTTCATAACTTAAAATAGTTTTAAATATCAGATTGTAATCCTTTCTTGAAAACAATGTCACTGCCTTCAGCTAAAAAAAAAAAAATAGATGATTTCATCTGTTGGATTATACAGACAAATACTTCAGCATTTTTTCATGTAATTTAAGTAGTCATATTTCTTTGTGTTATAAACAAAGTGAAATGTAACACATAATTATTAGATAAACTCTTTAATTCATACTTAATCAGATACTAATTTATCAATTATGTTTCCCACAATTAAAAAAAAAAAATCACTACCATGTCGTTTTCCAAAGAATATATTTTTTCATTTCCAGGTAATACTCTTTTAATCTTTTTTATCACGGCATGAGAGTTAATGACGCCAGCTAAACTAGCCCATGACGTGCAAAAACAAGTTTTTTTTTTTTTTTTTGGTCAAATGTGTTCAAACAGAATAAACGACCAGATTTTTTCTTTCTGGCCGACAAAACAGCCCAAGTTCTGGTTCAAACCAGATTTTTTGAAGCCCTTTTACCTCGACTAGATGACCTGTATGGTATGAAATTTTTTAGATTAAAAATTTAAGAAAATTGTAATAAAAATACTTAATTTGACTTAAAAAATTAAATTTTTTAATACAAAAATTAAGGTATAATATAATTAATGATTTATAAAGTATATATTAAAAAAACAATAAATATATTTTTTGTAATTAATTTATATAAAAAATCATAAAAATTAATATATATTTTAACATCACTAACATATGAATAATTTTAATTAATTAATTAAATCAAAATTAATATTTACACTTTTAATAAAAATTAATTACAAAAACATATATTTATTACATTTTTAATTTGTATTTTTAAAATATAAGTTAAATCTGATTAATACAATATTTACAATTAATTTTATATAAATTTTTACAATTAAAATAAAATATAAAATGTAAAATTAAATTAAAATATAATATTTATACTTAAAATTTATAAAACAAATATAAATTTAATATAAAAATTTATATAAAATTAATTATCAATACTATAATTAATTAAAATTTAAGGGTACAAATTAAATAAATCCTTATAATAATAATAATAATGGCTACTGTTGCTTTCCTCAATTTTTTCCCTCAAATATTTTTCCTTTAAAAAATTGGATACCAAACAGTGGGCGTGAAAGAAAACCAATTGGGGTAGGTGAGCCAGCCTTTTTGTCCATAGAGTCATCAAACCGAACCATTCAAACCTCTACATAGTGGAGCCCACTGATCGTCCGGCTCAAAATTCATATTCCGACGGTAGCCGAACAGAGGCCTTACTTTTTATAAAAATCGGGAAAAGGAAGAAAAACACCCACAGTCGCCTAATTTTTATGGCGTCTGGGTTTCTCGGTTCTCGATCTCATCGAGCTGCACCTGCCACCTGAATCCGGACGATTTTTGCGACTCCTTCGAGCCCTAGCTCCGGCGACTCCACTCGTTCTCTCGGACGTCGACACCTCCAAGAGTTATATCTGCTGGCCATGCGACTCTGGTTCTCTGCGATATCCCTCTCGAGAGAGGACTCTTTTGGTTTCGCTCAAGTTTCTGCCCGCTTTCAGGTTTATTCTTTGAGATTTAGAAATGTCAAACGATTCTCATGCTCCTAGTTCCAGGGGCCTTCTCTGCAACGCCGGTGCCGGCGCTGCTGCAGGTATGTTCACATTTCACCCTCTCCTCTTTTCTAATTACTGTTTTTTTTTTTTTTTTTTCGTTTTTGTTTCATTAAATTGTAAAGCAATTATCTTGGAAGCTGGGAAGGAATTGACGTTCAAGTCAGAGTGTCGTTTTTGTTTGGGGTGCCTTGACGGAAATCTAGGAATTAAATGAACTGGTCCTGTAAGCAATTGATTGTTTGACTTTGGGCAATCTTAATGTTGCAGGTGTTATTGCTGCAACGTTTGTGTGTCCTTTAGATGTCATAAAGACTAGATTTCAGGTTCATGGGTTGCCAAAGCTCAATAATGGAGGTGTAAAAGGTATGCTTGGCAATCTCCTTTACAAGCACTCTTCTAGAAGGCCTTGTTTTGATTCTATTTAACAGTTTAAGGCTAAGCACGGGGTGGATACTTAGCACCATATTTTATTTTATCGACCTGTGATTCATTGATTCATATTAAAGCTTGTCTGTGCCGTGCTTGGCTTTCTGGTCTTGTTTTGTTATTTTTGAATATGTTGCCATTAAATATAGATAGTCAATTAAGAATATAGAAATTCTCAGCCGCATATATTGAACCTTGTGAAATAAGATGGTTGAAGAGTTTCATTTTTGACTTTGTCTCTTATTTGATCAGGTAGCCTTATAGTGGGTAGCTTGGAACAAATATTTCGCAAAGAAGGCCTGCGTGGGATGTATCGCGGGCTAGCTCCCACTGTGCTGGCATTACTTCCTAACTGGGCAGTAAGTCATTTTCCTTTGAAGTTACTATTTCTATGCTGCCCCTGTTAACAAAGTCTCCAAGCAATAGGCCTACTTTCTTATTTCTTTACTGAAAGGATAGAATCTGTTTATTCCTTAGATCAAATAAAGTTTGTTGATTTTAAATTTTCGCATGTAAATATTTTAAGGTATATTTGAATTATTTTGAGGTGAGAAAGGAAATTGTTGATTTGGGGCTCTATGGATTTGAATGCGGGAGTTTCTCCCTTTAGAGATGTGTTGCTATCAATTGGGTTATGGGTCATGGAGATAAAGTCTGAACTTTGAATAGAGGAAAAAAGTATTCAAATTGCTTGTTCAAGTAAATGAAGCATCTGAACAAACAGTGGCAATTATGGTGGTTGTTTTAATTTGATTTGGTGATTTGAGGTAGATTATTACTGAATGAGTAAAACACATTCGATGATTTAAAAGGGGTAGATCTTCCATTGACAAATTTGAATGCTCACTGTGAGAATTTGATTTGCTTCTCAATGCATAAATAAATGACTTAAGAACATATTTCACCATTCTTTTTGCCAATTATTCATTATACTGTTCTGCAAATGTGACAGACAAATAACTATGTAATATTCTCTGTTATATATGGCCCATAGTATAATCTTGGCCCACTACACTACATTTTTATATACTCAGTTATATTGTGAATGAACATCGCTACAGTTTGCATTCTTTATGGTATCAGAAATAGTTAGGGCACTAAGTTGTTTCTTCGCTTAGAGTATCTCTTCTTTTCTGTCTCTTTTTCTTTTTGTGTCTTGTCCACCTCATCTGCAGTCTCTCCTCAAACCTCATCTGCAGGATGTGTTCCAAATTTTTAAGATTTTGAAATCACGACTTTTTAGATGAAAAAGATAATCATCTTTAATAAATATGATAAAAAGTGAATAAATCTCAATCATTAAAAGTGGAAAGATGAATGGTCAAGATTTTGTGTTAGTGTGGTTTGTAAGACTTGTGTGTAAGATTTGTGTGTAAGTGGATCCTTACTCTATATATGTGTATATATATATGTATGTGTATGTATATATATATATATACATATCAGCTTCTTTAGTATTGACCAAGTGCATTAACATTTGCAATGCAGGTTTATTTTACAATGTATGAGCAGCTGAAAAGCCTTCTTTGTTCTGATGGTTAGTTCATCAAATATTTTAACATTCACACTTCAGATTTAACATTGGTCAAACATTTACACCTTTTAGCTTTTTCTGCTGGGTCATTACATTTAACCTTTTTTTCAACTTTTGACACATAACTACGAATGGGTTTTATATAGATGGGAATCATAATCTGTCAGTTGGTGCTAACATGATGGCTGCTGGTGGTGCTGGAGCTGCAACAACAATTGCCACAAATCCTCTTTGGGTTGTGAAGACAAGACTTCAAGTGTGTATATCAAGTTCTATATGTGGCTCCTTAAATCTGTGTAATGACATACTACGTCAACTTAGAATTTTCACAAGCATGCCTTGTAAACACTGTATTAGATTATAATTTGTAGCTTAGCTGAAAGTTTCGAGTCATTTTTCCCTATTAAAATTGGCTTGTCCTTAGTTGCTATTGATTAACATCTCTGCACCCACACTTTTATATTATGAAAAAGAAATGGGTGAACATGAACCCATATGAATGGCAAGTGAAAACACTCTGGCTAGCAAAATTAAAATGTCAGGAAACTGATAGAAAGGAGAAGGTTAGATGGTATAGGAATAAGTTGGAAAAAGATCAATGAATGCATCAAATGAAAGGAAGCATGATTATTATTACAAAGTCAACACAATGTGGCTACATCATATGTGAAAGATTTCATTGGGTGATTTGTATTTAGGATCTTGTACAAATGAACCTTCTTTTTTTTCTTGGGAAAAATAAGCAAATGGAGGTGCTGTTGGTTTGCGTGTTTAACCGTCATGTTTTTCCTTGTGCAGACCCAAGGAATGAGAGCAGGAGTGGTGCCTTATAGAAGCACACTATCTGCTCTGAGGAGAATAGCTCATGAGGAGGGTTTCCGTGGCCTATACAGGTTTGTATCACCTTTTAACTTTATGAGAGTGTGACAACTCAGTGTCGATGAGGAAGACTGATTTACTGATGTCTGATATTTTGCGTATGAATAGTGGTCTTGTGCCTGCATTGGCTGGTATCAGTCATGTTTGCATTCAGTTCCCAACATACGAGAAGATCAAATTGTATTTAGCTGATAAAGGTAGTTATCTGCATTTATGGTCTTTTATAATATTATTTTATGGTTACAAGTTTCAATACAATACATTCTACTTTGAATGGCTACAGATCATAGCCACCAATCAACATTTGATGAATCACAATACAACTCAAAGTCGCAAACTAAATTACAATGCATCTTTTATAATTTTCTTAAAACATATTTTTAACTGAATGTGCTCATCTCAGGTAATACTAGCATGGATAAACCTAGTGCACGTGATGTTGCTGTTGCCTCTTCAGTTTCCAAAATTTTTGCATCTACATTGACTTACCCACATGAGGTATGATTTTGATGTGGAATGATTTTTTAATGTAGTCTTACCTCTGGCCAAATATGTGAGACTGAGAGTCTCTGATTTACTTAAAACGGAATTGAATTTCTCTTTGAATTCACGCGAGAACTGGTGTCCTGTTCTAAGTCCCTAATCCTAACTTCTTGGAGTATTTTGTATAAGTCCTTTGCCATTCATACTAAAATTTATATTTATCATGTTTAAGCTAAGAATAATAGTAGATTTTTGCCCTGTATGCAGTATACCGGTAAAATTGACTGCTCTATGTTTGATCAATTTCATGATGCAGGTGGTACGCTCAAGGCTGCAAGAGCAGGGTCACCACTCTGAGAAGCGTTACTCTGGTGTAGTTGATTGCGTCAGGAAGGTATTTCAGGAAGAAGGCATTGCAGGTTTCTATCGTGGGTGCGCAACCAACCTTTTTAGGACTACACCTGCTGCTGTTATAACATTCACCAGCTTTGAGATGATTCATCAATTTCTTCTCACTCTTTTCCCTTCCGATCAGCAGCCTCACACATTGTGAGGATCACTTGAAATGAGGATCTTTCTTGCAAGATTACTGTAAAAGGAGGATCTAGCAGCCACATCGCCTAGCATCAGGAACTAAATCAGCCTGTGAGAGATGAATGCTAGAGTAGAGACAGCTTCAAAATTGGCTGTATTTTGTTGTTCTGATAGGCTTTTCGTAGCATTCGAGGGATCATAGAGTTCACAGTCCTCATCAAACTCTCTACTATGAAAGCTCTTAGGAAGATGTGATAATATTATACTGACAGTGATAATGACGAAAGTGGGACACAAAAATTTGAATGATTACATTCTTTTTTGAGGGATTGCTTGCTGAATAATGGAAGCTTTTAATTCTTGTTTGCCATGAAGTCTTTCCTGCATCCGACATTTAACATAACATCTGTCAATATTATGTGGTTGCGCTGACCAACTCGTGCAACTGCAAGGCAGATGCTATGTTGGGAATCTTGGAAGAGTTTGTTAGGGCAGAGATGTCTGATGGAACATCGTACTTGTAATCTGTTAGGAGATCACGATGAAACCAAGACATTTGTGATTGCACGAGCTGGGATTTTGCCGGCAAGATTACTTCTGAATTGGGGACAGTAATGCAGTTGTTGAAACTAAGACATGTTTTGATGTTTCCTCACCTTTACCTTTAGTTGGTGGTGGTCTCAATCAGGCAACCATGCTCAACAATTGTCCAAATCACTTAGAAAAGGTGTTGTGCTTGTGCCATCCATTTTTGGGCAAACCAAAGGCAAATCCTAGGGACAGATGTTGGAGAACCCATTAACGCGCCAGTCAAGGCAAGAAGTTAGAAGAAAAGGCTTAAGCACGAAGAAATTGCTTTACAATGGGTCCTGGCCCAAATAGTTAGGAAGAAAATTATTAAAGTATAAGAAAATTGAAATGTGGATATGGTTACTTATTATTTTATTAACATAATTTTATTTTATTATTAAAAATAATTGATAATTAATAAAATAATTAATATTTATTATTTAATAAATTAAAATTAATTTATAAATTGATGTTTCAAATATTATAATCAATTATTTAAGAAAAAACTATAAACAAATAAAATATTAGTCAAATTAAATAATTTTTTAAAGATTTTAATAAAATAATAAATGATTATAACCCCACCTAAAAATTAAGAGTGAAGTTATTGCCATGCTCTAGAGTGTTAGAATTAGTTTGAGAGTGTTGTGTTGGGCTAACTTATAATTTTAGGTTTTTTTTTTTTTTTTTTTTTTTTGTCTTTTACAATTTTAGAAATATATACAAAATATTAATTGAATTAATAAAAATATGCAAAATATTAACTAAAATTAATTAAGAATTATAAATTTATTCTTTTGGGTAATTTGCTGCGTGAAAAAGGTTGGTTGCCAAACCGAGGTTTTAATGATTGTATTTTTGCTTTTATATCTTTTTGTAGTTATTGGGTTTTTAGAAACTTAAATAATTTTCCTTGATCATGAATAAAAAAGTAAAAAATGTACGTTTAATATGACATTAACACTCTTGGATGAGATATTAACATTACTTAAAAATTTATTTTTTTAAATGTATTAAATTAAGAATGCACTTTTAAAATTACTTTTAAAAAAATTAATTTAAGGTATTAAAAACTAACCTGAAACAATTGGTCATAAAAAAAAAAAAAAAAAAAAAAAAAAACCCGAAAATTGGTCTGTCTTGGGCTCTATCTTAGCTGCGCGTTCCCGCCTAATCCCATTGTAAAATGAATTGTATATGCTTTTAAAGAATATACCCTACTCAAAAGCTTTTAGGGCTAATTAAATCAATGTAATTGGTTGGAAAAATCTCTCTTCTCTCAATCCCAATGCCAGTTATAAGTGGTCATAATTTGACAACTCATTAACCTTCAAAAGGACATGCTAGGAGTTTAATCTTCTCATTAAAAGGTTCAAGACAACTTAGAGGCCCAGCAGTGCCTTTCTTGACAACTAATGTTATGATATATATTATATGAACGAGATGCAATGAAAACCCTTTTAACACATGCAGTTGGGTTTGCGGAGCAATAATTTATAGCTAGGAATAAAACAAATCATGCTACATGTCTTGGAAACTTTTTTGATGTTAGGGAGGGAGGGATTTGAACCCCTCTCTTTTTACAAAAGAAGACATACTAAAAATCACTTATCAATTGGATTTGAACCCATCTTTTTTTATGAAAGAAGACATACTAAAAATAACTTACCAATTACATACTAAAAATATTCAATGTAATAATCTAGTTGTAATTTTTTTTTGGCTTAGTATAAATAGAGATTCTGGGTTCGAGTCATAAAATGAGATAAGAATATAAATAGGTGAGGGCTTTTCTTGCATTATGTGACCAACCAATTAAAATTGAATAACACATAATATCTTTACCAACACCTTTTCCCGGTTTTGGTCTTATGAGTAGGGTAGGGAAATTGGCTACTTGGCTTCAATTAAGGAAATGAAAAAGATTGTGAAGTACTACCTTAGTATGCAAGTCCTTTAATTATGATAAATTTGTGAATGGTGTTGGTCCGGTGCTGAAAATATCGGTAACAAGATGTTGCAGCAAGCACCTACAGGCTGCAGAGTATAATTAAAGGAAATGGGGAGGAAAGGGAATGTGAGGAGCAAAAAGGACCACCCTTGCACCTCTCATCATACTTTGGTCTGCCCAAAAGCATAGAGCCATTATACATACAAGAGCGCATGCCTTTCATCATACTTTTTAGGTTCATATTGCCCCATCCATGAATAAAGAAAAATGTAGACCTATGAAGAATTAATTAAGATGTTCTTCTCAAGCATTTTGATTCTTTTCCTAAGCATGGTAAAACCGAACAAGCATTTCAACAAAAAACACTTCAACAACAAGCACTTATTTGATTTTTAAGGGTAATATATTTAAGTTCCAAATACCTCAACAATTAAAAGCTTGAGTCAATGTAAGGAGAAATGGGCTATTTTGATTATTGGATTTTGTAGCCCGTACGAAATTAATTTCATTTGTACCAAAAGAAAGAGGCTCTACTTTCCTTTACTTGAGAACAAAGGCTTGCTATAGGCCCAAACTAATCTGTGATTTGCTAATTAAGGAATTTCTATTAAGTCTAATGTGTGGTTATAGTTGGCGGGCAAAGGCATTTGCTTTCCAGGTGGGAGTGGTCAGATAAATTTCTTCCCCTATAGACCTTTTACATCATTTCCAGCCAGCAATAATAATTTTAAAAATGATGTGGGTACTTTACGCCTTTGCCAAAAACATGGGACGGCATTATTCTTTTACAATGCAGCTAGCACAGAGTAATTTTTTGTTTTTATAAGTGTTGCATCATTAATTTATATAAAATAATAACAAAAAAAGTGATATACATTTTATTTTATTTTTTTGATATTGGTTGCACAATTGGAGGCAACTTTTTTCCATTCCTTACCTCACTCTACCCGCATACTATACGACTTGAACTAAGGATATTTTATTTTCAATGAAAAGAAATTATTACTAAACTACTTAAGTTGTTAATGATATACATTTTATTTTGAGTGAACTACATACATTATATCCATTAATAAGAGATAAACCTAGATATTAAGGTGGTCTCTTTCTTCAAATGGTTATAAAATGTGTGACTTATCAAACCAACAATCTCATAAAATAATTACAATTTAACAGAGAAACTCTAGCTACTTCAAAATTTATAAGTTGGTAACTCTAGCTTCCCGATCACTTAAAAGCTGAAAATAACTTTTAGAAAGACTTTAAAAATATATACCATAAAAATATATGTTTACCCTAGCTACAACATTTATAGTAAAGAAAATCTTTGTTGAGCCGGACATGTACTAATGTCTAAATCCCCTAAAGCAGCCCTTCAAAAGTTACAGTCATTATTAGAGCAGTGATCGGTGGTTACATGGCTTTCTGGGCCATGGAATGGATGAAGAGACACTACACCACCCTCCATCGCCACTCTTTTTTATGGTTGGAATTAGTGTCCCAAAATCATGATTATACATTAAAATACAGGTTAATTAAGCTAATCATTTGCAGAGGGGTCCTTGATTAGTATTTTACTTGACCTGTAGGAGTATTTCTTTTGGCCAAACTTCAATAATTAAGTACTTCCTTTTTGTTGCACAAACGTGATAGATATATTCTCATATAAATATCAATTCCTTTTATTAAACATACCAATATATAGTAATCTAAATTTATAAACTTTAATCTTTAAAGAAAAGGGAGTAATTACTGAGTCATTAATGGCTATTTTTGCATTTAGGGAGTTAGATTTCATCCAAGCATGTTAGTCTCTTGCCAAACATTATCACCACCCTAAGCATTCATCTCTTTGAGATGAAGGAACATGAGGTATATATAGGCTTCTCTTGTCAGTATTTTGTGACATCTTCTCATCACAACACTTTATTCAAAAATAAAAAATTTAATTTTTAATTAATTTTTATATATTTTAATTAATATTTTATATATTTTTAAGATTATAAAAGACAAAAAAACCATAATTATAGGACAACATAAAAAAAAAAATCATAGTTCTTAAAGGAAATTGAATTGTACTTTTTTTTAAAGGAGAAAATATGAGATGGGCATTTTAGGAACCCTAAAAAGGATATTAAGATGGTGCATGTGAGTGAATTATATGATGTGGCTTGGCACCTTGACAGCATGAAACCTGCTGCACACATTCCTCCATCAGAAAGTAAAGCCTACCACCTTAAATTGCTAACCATGAACACAATTATGTCCATTTGCCACCATGCATCAGCATAGCTAGGTTGTCTTAACATGTGATGCTCTTAGAGGGAAAAATAGTTACTACATTTGGCCTAATCCATTTTAGCCACACAAATATTGACCGAAATGTTCTCTTGCTTTGTTTAGGATATATAATATATTATGCTTTTGGTAGTTAATCACCTCCCTTTTATGAATAATCAGAAACATTTCTTGATTTGAAAATGATTTCTTAACAACATTTACTTATTTTAATAATATATTTAGATTGAAGGAAATGGAATGAGAGGAAAAAAATTTTTAATCAATCAGATTGTAATATTTAAAAAGTTGTAATTTAATTAATTAAAAAACCCTTTTCTCCTCTCTTCTCCCCTCCCCTCCACTCTCCTCAACCCAAAAATATTATAAATTAAAAAGCAGTATTACTTCCATAAATAAATAGATAAATAAAAAGCAACATTACATTTATGCTTTTGGGAGTTGTCCAATGGATTTGCTCCTTTTAAATGTAAATATTACTAATTACTCGATGTTGAGAAATAAGATAACTCTTATCTCTTCTATCTAATGGATATATGCGTATGAATTAATAAGAACTTACTTGAATTGCTATTTATTAATATAAAAATTTTAATCCAGTCAATATTAAAAGTCCAAACTTTTATAATCCCAAGCAATTTAACTTCTAATATACCAAATATTTTGCCAAAATATTAATGTCTATGAACATTGATGGCTTTATTTTATCCGTGATTATGAAGGTTATATAGAAGCCGGTTTCCCCCTTCTATTTACTCTTTCTTTTTTTAGTTATTTTATTTTTTAACTTTACACATATTTAGATAATTTAGAGATTTATTTAAAACTTTGTAATTAAATGTTCAAATGACATAATCATCTCTAATTTAGAAACAAATATAAAATAGTAATATTTAATATCTTATATATATATATTAAAAAAAACTCTATAACAA